AAAATAGAAATAATTATTAGTTCACAACTGTGAACTGTCTGTAAGAACACAGAGAATCATCCAATCACCACCCTACAAATTCCTTTTCACAAAATTAATTATATTATTGCCTTTTCTTATTAATTTTGTAAAAAATATATAAACTCCATCTAAGATATAAAGATAGATTCTGAAGCCTTAGGGCATCCTGCCTTAATAGTGGAATTTTTGGTATATTTTTTGAAGAGTTTTTGTAGGTGTGTTTAAAAAAAGAGAAAATAGAAAATGAAATATATATATATATATATATATATATATATATATATATATATATATAAAATATGAAAAAGGAAATCAAAAAAAAAAATTGAAAACCTGACTTTCCGGAAACAAAAACAACAGCACTGCCAGTGGGCGTGTGCGGCTTGGCGTCCTTGTGCGCGATACGCGCACTGCTACGCGTCCAATACTTTGTTCATTGTGTTGCAGGACCCACACAAAACTTACCATTTACAAGAAGAACTCATCCATTCTCTTTCTTCCCTTTCTCCTCCAACTCACTCATTTTTATTAAAAAGAACTGGTCCTAAATCTCCTAATGGGATGCTCTTAGAAAATTCTTGATTTTTGCCACTTTTTACAAAACAAGATGTTAGAATTTATTACACAGATTGAAAAGGAAATAAGCGTCCAATTTTTTTAATAAATGTTGACTATTCTTTTGTGAGTTTTTTTTTTTCAAATATCTTTTCTTTTTTAAAGGTAAAATCATAATACTTTATTAAATCAAATGAGCAATACAATGCGGATATAATGAATCCAACAAGAAGGACCAGACAACGAGCACCTCTAGCAAAAATATGAGCAAGCTTTTATTATTATTGTTTTCTTAAAGTAACAAAAGTAGGTGTATTTTAATCAAATTATTTGAAGAACAAATTTACAATATCATGGGGTGTAATGTTATATCCATCGCAGAGTTGTATATTACATTTTCGAGTTATACTCTCTCTTATATACACTTGGAAGCATATAAAGTACAATTTTATAAAATAGATGGTATTGTACATTGTAAACAAAAATTTATTAATTAATTTTTTAGAAGAAGAAAAAGTGGTGTGTGATAAATGTGTCCTCATTTTTTTTTTTGTACAAAAAGAAAACATTAAAGAGAGATATATTATACAATATTGAATGGAAAAATATTTTACTCCGTATTTACAAACCATCCCCATGTGATAACATATGCTCTAATCTAGATTGTCCATTTGACTTGATCTAAAGGATATGATTTTTCTACAATTAAATGCTTATTTTTATTATTTAATGCACTATGGGGCATTAGATTAATTTTTTTTTTTTTTACAGTTTCCTTATGCATGGTAACGGGCTATCAAACAACAAACCACAACCCTTAATTTAATTAATTAAACGGACCAGTTTAAACCACATGTTCTCACCTGAAGATGGATTTTCATTTGAACCGAAATAATAATGTAGCTACTAGAAATCAAACTCTGGTGTATGGGTTAGAGATTAGGATTAAACCAAGACTATGTGGTATAATGGTATCCGGGTTGGACTTTCATTTGGAAGATTACAAGTTCAAGCCTCAGTGGAGGCGTTATTGGTTCTTTGTGTTTCAGTAGGTTAAGAAAGTATATGAACAGATACTATAATTTTTGCGAATGGTTGACAAATGTACAACATCAGCTAGTCTTGAATCTTGGTCATACACGTGTCCCCCCCCCCCCCCCCTCTCTCCACTACTTTGCTTCTCGCACTCCCCATGCATAAGTAGAGATTCCCGCCCTCTAATACACAAAATATCTGAGTAGCTTGGTGCTTAATTGTGTTGTTATTAAGAGGAAGGCTATGGGTTTGATACCCTTAGCAACACCTCCTTTGTTTATTTTGCTCTATACTTTCTTCTTTCCTTATAGCTCAATGAATTTCCATTATTCTTGTTGGGCGGCCAACACCTTATTAATAAAAATAGACACTCCGCTTGGGCCAAGACTTTTCCAATAAAATGAGCCCCTCGGGGTCCCATGTCGCTATCATATACCACGTTGTAACATTATCATATAATTGGGTGATGGAATATTTGTGTCATTAATTCACTTTGGTAAAAAAAAAAAAACATTTTTATTGGCTTGATAATTCTTAATTTTTATTTTTATTTTTTTTAAGTATTCTCGACAATGAGAGACTAGTGCTTATTGAACTTTTTATGAGAATTAGATACTTGGTTTGGTCATTGCATATATCTGAAAATTTAATTTATTTGATAATAAATTGTAGTCCTTATATCTTAGAAATATGTTAGTATAAATTGTTAATTTGATGATATTTATTTTTTTTCTTTTAATTTTATATTGATTAATTACATGTAATTTAAGTTGTTCAAACTTAATCACAAATGAATTAGCTAGAAAGAGAAACAAAATAAGAAAGATAATCATTACTTTATTCTATAAAGATAATTATGTGAAATATTAGTTTTACTTCCTTATAGCACTTTAATTTGTTGGTTAATTAAGGACACAATACGAGTTTACTAATAACAAATTTTTGTGTAATAACTGTGAATTTTTTCATAAATCAAAATATGTGAAATATGAAACTTTTTTTTTTCTTACAAAATGGATCATGTATGTTAGTATGTATGTGTGATACTCATAAACACCAATACATGATTAAAATGACTTTATAATTCCAAAGCTTTGAAAGTTCAATAAATCGAAACTATACTCCACCTTACGTTTTTTAAAATTTATTATTAATATAAACAATAATTGTACAAGTTGGTTGTTTGTTGTAATGAGTAATGCAGGCGTGTACTTAGCGCAAGGCATAAATAAATAAATAATAGAGTATGAGCCTGATTGGTACCATAATTAGTTTATCAGTCAATTTTGATTTATTTGATCACTATTAGCTTTTTAATTTGGTTAAACAATCAATATAAGTGTTTAATTAACTAGATTTTTGTAACAGTTTGTTGTTCCAAAACGTTAAAATTCAAAAAGCTGCTCAAAGTAATTTTTTTGGTAAACTTTTTGAGAAAGTCATTTTACATGTAATCAGCTATCAACTAACAACCAATTTATCAATTATCTTTCTGCAAACAGCTAATGCAATCAACTAGTCAAATCCACTAATCCAATCAGCTAACAGCTATTTACCAAACACCCCCTATATGTATAGGTACTTATAAGAGTACGTATGTATATGGGATACATATTATGGGGGTATATTTGTGTTGTTAAATTACAATAATTATTTTATTGACTATGGTGGACTATGAATAAAATATACATTTTTAATATACTAAAGATATATTATTTATATATTAGAGTTATATTATTTTGTATACTATCAAATAATATATATTTAATACATAAATAATATATCTTTAATTAATATATTAAAAATCCAATGAAAAATTTACTGTCAAATTATGGGTGGATTTACTTACTCCATATGTAATTGGACAGTTATATAACATGAGTGTTGACATTTTCATTAATGATATGGCCCCAAAAAAGTAAGGAAGAAAAAAGGAAAATATTAATGGCATTAAATTTTTACACAAAAATTTATAGCATTTGGTATGGTTTTATTTTAATAATTTATATTGATTACAATATTTAAGGATTACACCATAACTTTGAGAGTACTACTATTGTCTATTTTGCCCCCAAAAAGTTTAATCCCCAATTCCAATGGTCCCACATCTCAACTCGATAAAACATTTGGAAGAATGTACTTTGATGATAAATACTCCATCCGTCTCTAATTGATTATCTCATTTGATTTTTGCACGACTTTTAATACAACATAACAAATTTTACTAAATTTTTAATTTTGTCATTCAAAAGTAGATGTTATTTGTACAAAATACAATTGTACTTACCTCTAGAAATTTGAAAAGTCAAAAGGATAAATTAGAAAATGTAGAGTGATAATTATGTTCAATTTTAGAAAGATGACACAATTTTAAGGCAAATTAAAAATGAAAGTAAGACAGGTAAAATATGACGGATGGAGTAATAAATTAGAAGTATAAAATGAGAAAGATATAAATTTAAAAATTAAATTAAATTTTTATCAAATACAAAAAAAGTTTAAAAATTATAATAATTTGTCAAAGAAAACAAGCTAAGACAATGAATACTGAATAGTATATTAATACAGATAAAATAAGAGTTTTTGTATGTGGGCTTAGCGTAGTTGATTCGTCGCCTAACTTAAATGTAGGCGGCACTGGCGGGGGTGGGGGTGGGGGTGGGATTAGGAAAAAGATCAATGATGCTGTAGATTGGATCTCTTATGCGCACATGAAGATTAAAATCTGACCGATGGGTTGATTACGCGACTCACGAATTCTCCGCAATAGCTTTAGGGGTGGGATTCAATGGGTTTAGGATTAGTCCGGCGAAACTGGAATCATCTAATTTTTTTTTTTTTTAAGAGTATTACGTGTGGTGGGAACCCTCAAAACTAGGATGCAATCCTTTTAGATAAGATAGACTATAAATTTGAATACAAAGAACTTTTACAGTTGTCCAATAAATGCGTTATACATTAAATAAATTTTAGAATAAAAATTTAAAAATTATATTTTTACTAAAATTACTATGAGATTGTGAGATTGGTTAATTTTTATTGTGAATTGATGTGTTTTACTTGTGAATTAATAAAGAGTCACACAATATTAAATATTAAAATACAATAATGATATGTGAATTTTTAAGATATATTAAAAGATTTAAAAAATATATAATACAAGGAAGAATAATGTTTGATTTCTATAAAAATCTGAGAATAATTTGGAAAATTTAAAATGAAATCATGGAGAGAGAAGAGAAAAGTAGGGAATAAAAAAGGAGACCGGATGTTGACAAAATTCATGTCACTGTTCTTAGAAGGTCGTTTGTTTGTGTGAAAGATTTCTTATCTGGGATCTCTCTCTTTCTCTCTCTAGAAAACAAAAAAAATATACTAAACACACACACACTTCTTGCAAGCTCTTCTTCTTTTATTCTCTTTCTCTTTCTAAAAGGAAAGGGCCTTGCTTTATAGAGAGAGAGAGAGAGAGGGGTGTTTGTGTTTGTGTGGCCCCAGCAGATCGAAATCTCCATTCTTTTGTTCAGTTTCATGAGGATCTGAGCTTCTTCAATGGTGTTACCAAACCACACCCTTTCTTGTTTCCTAGTATTTATTCCTTAATAATTGTTTATATTTCCCCTTTTTTTTTCGGGGGGTTCTATGATTCTATCTGGCTTGGCTAGTGTCAGTGTTGGGTTCTGAATTCTCCTGTGATTTTGAGTTGCCTTAGCACAATGATTCAATCTTGAATTGAGAGGGTCATGAAGAAGAGACATGGTTCAAGGATGTGGGTCTGAGGTAAAATTATTTATTCATCATTTTAGATGTTTTTGATTTTATTGGATTTGAATAAACAACAATAATTGGGTTTTAACAATTAATTTTGTGTGGTTATATGTGTTCAAATTATGCCTTTTTAGGGTCTTGTATTTAATGGTTTGGTTAATCTTGATGAATGAGATATGCTGGTTTTCTTGTTTTGTATTTTACATAAATAATTTTAATGTATATTTACAGATTTGGCTAGTGATCTTAGTATTTGAGATCTTTTTAGCTTCTGTGTTTATAAATTGATTCTTGTGAATTCAGAAAAAAATTGCTACTTTCATTGCTTTATACAAGCTCTTTGTCATGTCCATATTTCCCTGTTAAAATGCTTATTGTGTAATTTGTATTGTTGGGCAAGGGGCCATGTCTAGTACCCGGTGGCTGGGGGATTGTTGGGCAGAGGCCGGTAAAGCCCTAAGGGCCAAGTCCAGCACCCAGCCTGTCTCGAACAATGTGATGGCGGTCTATAAGGATATAATTTGCGCCTTTGCTTCAAGCTATAGCTTTTGGCGTGAGTGGTAAGCTTTTGATCCTAATAAGTATCAAGCATTGGTGGATTTCTTGTTTATGGTGTTTCGATTTTTGATCATAGTAAGCCTGTCGAGAATGGCGTTAATTGTATTGACTTCGTGGGGGGCCCTTGGGGGAAGAAGAAGTCCCCCTATTTTTTTGGCTTTTGCACAATGTGATCACCGTATTATGTGTCAAATTTGGAGTGCTTATAAAGTGAAATTCAAATGCAAATATAAGTGATTTGAAGAGGGTTGGACTCGGTGTGCGAGGCTTCCTTCACGTTCAAGTGCCTTGAAATGAATCTATTGCCTTTAATTTCTTTTTCTATCTGGTTTTGATTGAATGCATAGCTTCGTTAATTAACGGAAGCTAGTTTTGAGTTAGGAATAGTTGCAAATTTAAACTTTTACTCTTTGAAGTCAGGGTAAACAATTTATTCTGTTTTGCTTTCTCTTATTCGTGGAGGGATGGGAACCCAAGTGCATTATAAGGACTACTACGTTCCAGGTTATTGCTCCATGAGGAACCACCTTAGCGAGGACGCTAGCAGTAGTAATTGGCCCCTTTTTTACGGCGATAGGGCCTTAACGAATGGGCAATATTGTAATGGTTTCGTGTCTCGGGGTGTAATGGATGCTTATCCCGGGTATGACAAGGATGCCGTAAAGCAGAAAATGCTCGAACACGAGGCTATTTTCAAGAATCAGGTGCAATTTTTTTTATTTTTTATTTTTCCAGATGTTTTTTGTTTCGATTGGATGAGAGATTTACGTTTACTTTTGCATCTAGGTTTCAGAACTTCACCGCCTTTACAGAATCCAAAGAGACATGATGCAAGAAGTTAAAAGGAAGGAACCGACGAATCGGATGTCGATGGAGCCGTCATCGTCGTCTAACATCCTAGGATCGCAATTGCCGTCTGAGGATGTTCAGAAATGGCACATGACGGGTTTTCCTTTAGCACATTCTTCGGGTTATGCTCGAGCCTCGACTTGTAGTACTGAAATTGTGAATTCTCCCTTAAGCTGTGCAAAGGGACAGTCTGGTCGGCTTCAATTACAAAACGGGTTTTCCCCGAAAAGCTGTCAAGCGTTGGAGGCTAGACCGTCGAAAGTTCGGAAAAAGTTGTTCGATCTTCATCTGCCAGCCGACCAGTATATAGATACCGATGAGGGCGAGCAGTTACAGGATTCCAAAGAATCTTTCTGCCCGAGTTATCCTGCTGCTAATGGAAGCTTCACAATTCCACAATTCCTCGGCGGTTGTGAAACGAGTGATTCCCAAAAAGACGCTTCGATGTCCAATTCGTGTTTGAGAAGTGCGTTTGGGTTGGCGGATCTCAACGAACCCGCCCAGTTCGAGGAAGCAGCCGTCGCTCCATCGTCCGTTAACTTTCTCGGTCGTTTTGCTAACCCCGCCAAAGATGCTAAAATCCCAAACGTCATTAGTAAACCAAATCCTGGGGGGGTTTTAGCTTCATCGAGAGAAATGATGTGGAACTCTCATCACGGAAGCTCCAATGGGGGGTTGATCGGTAATTTATCCGTGGAGAGTAAGGGAAAAGAGAGAGAGTGGCTCTCATATACTTACGAAGCAGGTACTAAATACCTTCTTAATGTGTTCTTGTTGAAACAATGTTCGTTTATTGTATGTAAGTTGGTCATTCTGTTTTGCAGGTAACATGAAAAATAACCGACTTCCGGTTTCTCAAGGTTTCGAGCAGAATAAGTTACCTATGCAGTCCCGTCCAGCTGAAGTTGGTATACTTAATAAAACTCATCAAAATCCCGGGATTTATCCGACTCACGGGATTAGGGATGAGTTGTGGAGAGAGAGGACGGGTTATGGCTTCGAGAGAGCTCGTGAAAACTCTAATCTTAGTCGTGTGGAACCTGTTGGATTAACCGGCCCCAGCCCGTTCGTTAGTTCTTCCGAATTTGCCAATTCGTGGTCACATTCCGTTTCGGCTTTGGGAAAGCCAGCAAGTAGCTCGAGTCAAAAGTTAACGTTGTTTCATAGTAGGAATACGCAGCCTTCCCCGAGCCCCATAACCGGTGGGATATCTCGGGTCAATCCGGGTTTGGGCAGTGATTTACCTGTCAAGAATGGTTTTTACCACGGATCTTCTTCATCTGGGTCAAGGGAACCATCTGCTCACCTCCTTTTGGATCGTCTAAACTACAATAAGAGCGAGAATTTATTGTCTGAACACTCTCCTAATCATAAACACGAGAAGTTTCTTGTTGACTCCAACTCGAGGGATTCAAAGTCTGCGAAAGGTTTTGATCTGAACGTTACGAACGAGGCCATCGATCTGGAGGAGTTGGTTGGTAATAACGAAAGAAATCTCGAAGAAGTTGTTGCAGCAACATTGCCTTGGCTTAAATCGGCTAGGCCGGCTTCTAAAAACGAGGGAAGAATGCAGAATAATCAAAATGTTGCATCGGCTTCAAGGGGGTGTGGAATCAAGGCCGAGGAGGAGATTGGGGAGACTCGAAATGTCAAAAGAATTCTTGGAGTTCCGATTCTGGAAAATCCTCGTTTTTCCCCGAAAAACGAGTCGTCTTTGCTTGTTTCTACTTCTGCAGCCATTCAACCCTCACCCGAAGAACATAATAGGAATGAGAAGAAGAATTTCGTGATTGATATGAACATGGTGTGGGAGCTCTCGAATGGGGAGTTGGAGGATCACGTAACCCCGGAACCCCCCCTTGTGATGGGGTCGAAAGATACTAGTATCAGAAATCACATCGATTTGAATTTTTGTATTCCCGAAGAAGATGAAGAAGAAGATCAATCACGACCCTCTGCTGCAACTAGTAATGTTAGAAGAAAGAGCGTTATAGAGATTGATTTGGAAGCTCCCGCTGTCTCGGACACCGAGGAAGATAATCTCGTGGAGGAACGTGAGGCATCTTTGCAGTTGCCCGAACACAAAGCCGAGCAAACGAGAGATGAAGTTGCCAGTATTGCAGCGGAAGCAATAGTTGCTATCTCGTCATCGGGGCCGATAGAGGAGAAATGTCGGGATCCTCTCGAAAAATCGCTCCAGTGGTTTGCCAACGCGGTCTCGTCTTCTGCCGATGAACGGCTCAAATGGAAGTCTGACAAAGAAATAAGGGCTGGCAAGGACGGTGTACTAACCGAGAATTCTTGTTTCGAGGGAATAGATTATTTCGAGGCAATGACATTGCAATTGACGGAAACCAAGGAGGAAGACTACATGCCTAAGCCGTTCATCCCCGAATTCCAATATGCGGACGATATAGGCGCAACTTCCGTTCCTAACCGACCTCGAAGGGGTCAGTCGAGAAGAGGGAGGCAGCGGAGGGACTTTCAGAGGGACATCCTCCCCGGTTTGGCGTCCTTGTCAAGGCACGAAGTAACCGAGGACATACAGACGTTTGGAGGGCTAATGAGAGCCACGGGGCACACATGGACTTCCGGGTTGACAAGAAGGAACGGAACTCGAAACGGGGGTGCCAGGGGGAGACGACGAACGGTGGTCATCGACACAGGACCACCACCACCCGCTCCCGCTCCAAGCTCAGTGGGCCCCACTCCTCTAGCGCAGCAACTTAACAATATCGAAGCTGTTTTGGAGGACAAAAGCCTAACCGGATGGGGAAAGACAACTAGACGCCCCCGAAGGCAAAGATGTCCTCCTGCAGGTAATCCTCCCGCTCTCCCATTAACCTAAACATTGGAGACGAGGCTGCAACTTATAGTTCACCGTTTTATAGAGAGGATATTAAGAGACTTAGGAGGTGCCCTGCCTTTTTCTTTTATCTTTCAATTCGTTACTCCCCGGGAGTTGGAGTTGACGTTGCGGTTAAGCCGGGAGGATTGTGTTTGTACATTCTATGTGCCATAATTCAGTGCCCCATGGCTGTGATATGTCTTCTGAATTTATACAGCATTGCTTCAAATATATGCAGTCTCTTCTATGAATCAAATACCAAATTTCTTTTACTCTTAACTACATGTTTAATTCCTGCCAATTTTCATCCACGACTATTGTTTTAGTACAAATTTCTATCGATGACTATTGTTTTAGTGTCAAAATTCATTACGTCGGTCACTCATTCGTTTAAGACATGCTGAAATTTAAAAATTTTAAGGGTATTTTCGTCCTTTTAACTTAAGATCCCAATTTGAGCATGAATAAGGAGATTTAAACCTTAAGATCGATCTCAATTTTGTCGATTTATTACAAGAATAGAAAAACAAATCCTGCAAGAGAAAACCCATATAATTAATAAGTTGTTGGATTCTATTTAATGGGAAATTTTACAGTTGTGTATCAAGCTCTTGAAGCTTTGTGTTAGCTAGGCTGGACTTTAGGGTGCTCTGAACTGTATCTATATATGATCATGTGCAAATTCCAGTGCCTGCAAAAGTCAGTCTGTATGGTATTTAAATGAGACATTCTACAATACTACATGTAATAATGTTGGCATTGTCATTCTACAATACTACATGTAATGTCTATAACTTGTTATAATAATTCATGAAAAGCCAAAGGGATGTGAAGGGCCACGGATAGTAAAGTAGGAAGGGTCTTCTACATTGTGTTTAGCATGTATATATGACAGTGTGTGTAGTTAAGGAAGAAGTAAGATAAATATATAGAGTTTTATTATTTAACCAATACTTTTCATAAAATAAGGTTTACAATTCCACCAAATAAACAATATTGTTATGTACATGATTGAATAGTGTGCACTTTGTCTTTTCATAATTCCTAGTTGATAATAATGGAATGGACTCATCTTTTAATTTGATTCTAAATTATGTAAATGAAATCGCAAGAACTTTTCTTCACGTGAATTTCACTTTTGTTAGACGTTCTGTGAATGGGGCTGCCCATAAGCTAGCTAGGAAGTCCGGTTCTTTGTCAGAATGTATGGAGTGGTACTACAACCCTCCTCCCTTGCTCTGCAAATCTCTTTATCTTCCAAGATTTTGCATTGTTTCAAGGTTCCTTTCCAAAAAAACCCTTTCATATCAACAGCACAAACAGAAACTTAGAAGCTCAAGAGCTTCATGCTACTATGGTTCAACTTCACACTTAGGATCAAACGCTTATCATTACGTCAAAAGTCATAGCTCATAGCAAAGACGCAACTTTATTTCCTTATATACCACTACATTTTCGAGAGGCAGAGTGTCAAGCCTCCGCCCAACAATCCCCCAGCTACCTGATTCTGGATTTGGCCCTTCACCGGCCTCCACCCAACAAAACCTCTTTCAGGCTCATAGCGAAGACGCAACTTTATTTCCTTATATACCACCACAATTTCGAGAGGCGGGATGCCAAGCCTCCGCACAACAATCCCCCAGCTACCTGATGCTGGATTTGGCCCTTCACCGGCCTCCGCCCAACAAAACCTCTTTCAGGCACACCACCATAGCAAATTCAACTGTTAAACGAAATGAGCTTCAAATTGCAGTTCCCACTTCCCAGATTGGTATCCAGAAACTCATAGCAAATCAGTTAGTCCTGATCATCCACCAGGCATATGATGAATTCTATTATCAATCACAATCATACTGTACCCATGGACCTTACTAAGACCTACACTCTGCATTTTTGACCTTACTGTCTTACATTCACTCCATTCTCCTCTTTCTGCATATACATTGGATAATAAGGTGTAGTACCCAGTATCATCTGTATGTATATCTACAAGCTTTTCTTGAACACTTGCGATAATATCTGTTCGGTGGTGGATTCTACACCCATTGATGAGTGAAGCCCAAACGCTAGCATCTACCGGGAATGGCATTGAGTTTATCACCTTATATGCTTCTTCTACATCACCTGCTCGACTAAGAAGATCGACTAGACATGCAAAGTGTTCAGATTTGGGCTCAATGCCAAAATCGGACATTGCATTAAAGTAAGACTTTCCTTCATTAACGTAGCCAGCATGACTACAAGCAGAGAGAATATTCATGAATATAACATCGTTTGGTCTAATTCCTGAATCTACCATATCAGTAAAGAGTGATATGGCAGCATCGATATGACCATGCAACCCATACCCGCCTATCATGGCACTCCAGGAAATTACGCTTTTTTCTGTCATGCTGTCAAAGACTAGTCGAGCCATTTGAAGTTCCCCGCATTTGGCATACATGTCTGTCAGGGCTGTGCCAATATACATATCCTCTCTTACACCAAAGGTTATCAGCTTATGGTGAATCCATTTTCCTTTTTCTAAATACCCTAAATTAGAGCATGCTTGAATTGCGGTCAAGTAGGTGACTTCATTCATCTCAAGAGAACCCGAGTACATCTTAGAAAACAAAGCGATGGCCTCCTCAGATTTACCGTTTTGATGAAACCCACACATCATGGAAGTCCAAGCCACGACTCCCCTATCCGGGATCTCCTCGAATATCGCATATGCTGAGTCCACAAGTCCAGATTTGGAGTACATGTCAATCAGAGAGTTCTGAACAAATTCATTTTCTGAATACCCTGCCTTGATAACATGGCAATGCACCTGACTTCCAAGTTGAATAAATCCAATATCTCCACAGGCATTAATGACACTTCCAAGAGTAAAAGAGTCTGGAATTATGCCCTTGATTAACATTTGCGTGAAAAGTATCAACGCCTCTTCACACATCCATTCCCGAGCATAACTGGATATAAGCATATTCCACGAAACAATATGTCGGTCTTGTGCTGGGTTGAATACCTTGAGGCAATCTCTTAGCCTTCCACAATTGGAATACAAGTCTACTAAAGCAGACCTCAGAATGTCATTATCAGCATCGATATCGTTTCTTATAAGAAACCCATGAATAGATTTCCCTTCCTTTAGCCAACCTGACCTAGCACAAGCACACAAGCCACTCATCAAAGTAACTTCATTAGGTTCCACAGTTGAACCCTGCAACTGCATCTCAACAAACACTCCCAACGCCTCGCGATAACATCCGTTTTGATTAAAGCCGGAAATCATTGCTGTCCAGGTATAAGTACTCCTAATGACAGCAGACCGAAAAAGCGCCTCAGCACTACCCGTATCGCCACATTTCCCGTACATTGAAATAAGGGAAGTATTCAGTGTCTCACCACTTTGAATATTCTTTCTCAACACATAAGCATGCACAGATTTTGCTAGTCTCCATAGACCCAACTCCCCACAGGCTTCTGCTGCACTGAGCAGTGTAACTGAATCAATTTCAATCTCTTCCTTTGCCATTCCCCTTAAAAGCTCCAAGCCTTCACTTGGCTGCTCATTATGTACATAACAAGAAATGATAGAACCCCATGAAACCTCATCTCTAATTGACATTCCATCGAACAGTTTCTGTGCATAGAGTATACATCCCAGCTCACCGTACATATTCAACAACGCCGTCTCTACAATAGGATCAGACACAAACCCCGACTTAATAATCCTCCCATGCACTTTTTGGCCGATTCCGAGGTCTCCAATTGCAGCGCATGCCCGCAAAACTGAAGGAAATGTGTAATCACCCATTTGGGGAAGGTGGAAAAGCATGGCGTCGTAGAGAGAAATGGCTTCTTGAAAGCAGCAATTCCAGACATGGTTCTTTATCAGCACGCCCCACATGAACGAATCTGGTTCCGGGAATGACCCAAAGATGGTTCTTGAAGTTTGAAGAGAGCCCATTCTGGCATAGGACTCTATGAGCTTGGTGGAGGCTTGGGGTTGTTTATGGAGGCCTGTGACAATGAGGCGGGCATGGAGTTGAGTCAGTCCTCTTGAAGTTGTGCAGGCTCTGAATAATGGCATGTAAAGACCCATTCTTGCTGTTCTAAATTCTTGCAAATCCAATCATGTTTTCTGGGAATACAACACTAACTCTCCAACTCTACCATTTCGCCAACCGCAACTACTCTCAAAAGGTTAATTGGCCCTTCACAGTTCACACTAATGACCCGACAAAGTATTTGGTCAACTACTCCGTACTTTAGGCAAATTATGCCGTGCAACTATGTACACCATGCATGGTGTACGGTTGTAAAAAGGACGACGTTTTGACGTTAGACTTTTAAAAAAATAATCAGTTTCTATTGCCGTCAACGCTGTTATGTTGTGCATAATTTAAACTAAATATCCAGAATGAATGAACTAAACATCCAGAATAAATGAACTAAATATCCAGAATGAATGAACTAAATATCCAGAATTATCCAAAATGAATTACTTAAATATTCAGAATGAATGAACTATATAGTTCAAATTATACACAACATTACGCCGTTAACGACAATATAAACTGATTTTTTTAAAAAATCAGACGTCAAAACGATGTCGTTTATGCAACCGTGTGCACCATACATAGTGCACCCGGTTGCACAGCATAACGCTCCCCTTAGAGTTGAAGATTCAACATTTCAACCTTTTGGGAGAAATTATAATTTCATAAATTCACTATTGTAAATTTATAAAGTCACTCCTGCAATTTAATTCAAATTATTCAAATGATATATTAAAAAGTATATCAATTTAAGTGGTATTTAATAACTAAATGAGATAATTTAATAGGATTTTATATATTTATTTTGTTTATAATAAAAAAATTAAGAGAGAATAATATATTCCAATTTCCAAGCGATAATATATTAATTACTATCATTTTATAGATTTTGCAGGATTTATGTACTTAATTTAAATACTTGCAGACTTAGGGTGTTTTTAGTTCGCACTAGCACTGTTAAAGTGGGTCGTCCCGGTCCAGCGCAGACTTAATTTTTGATAAGTTTTTACGGGCTAAGATTCGTACAACCCTAGCCCGCCCTACGTGGGTTGGCGGGCTTCGCGGGCCAGCTCGTGATTTTTTTTTTTTTAGTGTTTAAAAATTTTTAAAATTAATATTTTAAAAATATTAATCTCATATATATATATATATATATATATATATATATATATATATATATAATTATATATATAATGTTACATAACAAGGCAGAATTGTGTAACGTATATTTATTTTTTATTTTTATTATTATTATTTTTGTAATAGGTCTAGTCCGCGGGCCGGTCCGCGGCTCGCGCGAGTTGCGGGTTAATTTTGGCTCGCCTCGTTAGACCCGTATTTTCATGGGCCTGTTTTTCCATGACCCTAACCCGCCTCACTGCGGGGCGGTGCGGTCCAACCCGCGGGCTTCGGCACACTTTGACAGTCATAATTCGCACATAGGAATCAGAATCGAAATGAGAATTATATACTTAAAAATTGTATGAGTTTTGGTAAAAGTATTTTGCATGTTTAGTAGTAGAGTGAAATTATAATGATTACAAATATTGATGTTTGGTTATGTATGACCCTATAATGAAAATAAAAATTTTAAAAATAAAAAATCAAAACAATTAATCATAATATAATGACATGCAGAACATAAAATTAACAATAAAATCAAAACAAAAATCTAAAAGCATTAATCTAAACTTAATAAAATGGGATGAAATATCTTCTTCTTTTTTTTTTTTGTTTTGTTTTTTTTTTTGTTTTTGTTTTTTTTTGTTTTTTTTGTTTTTGTTTTGTTTTGTTTTTTTTTTTTGTTTTTTTTTTTTTGTTTTTTTTTTTTTGTTTTTTGTTTAAGGGTAAGAACTTTATTCAAACTAAGCAATAAATTGTTCAATACATGAAGGAATCGATGAAAACCAAGTAACATGACCAAAGCGAGAACTAGCAGCTCGAGCTAACGCATGAACACATTTGTTCACTGATCGAGAGATGAACTCAATAAACACTGATTCAAAGTGTTGTTTCAGTAGCCGGCATTGACTGATAACATTGCCCGCATATGAAGAATTCGGGACATCTTGATTTATGAACCTGCATACCATCTGACAATCCGAATGAAGGATGAGCTTACGCCAACGTTGAGAGAGGATCCAAGATAGAGCTTCCTTAATAGCCATGACTTCTGCTAGATGAGAATCTTTTAGACAACGTATGGGACCACATTTGGCTGCCACAACGTATGGGACCCGAATGAAATATCTTTTAATTAAAGAATGAAATTTATAATTTATAATTAAAAAAATAATCAAATTCTATAATTGTAATTAAAAAATCATGAACCAAACACACCATATACAAATGATATATGCTCATATACGGAATAGTATTTTGGCATTTTGGCATAAACAGCGCTTACCGAAGGGTCAAAATTGCACTGGACCATTGCCAGCGGAATTTCCAGTCTGGTCAAACGCAAGTGAGAGACTAGAGATGGACTTTTCGCAGACCCCTTGGCGGAGCCGGAAACCGCCTCCGCCGAAGCTGACGGACATCTACTCCACCGTCGTCGTCCAAGGCAATGACAAGAACAAAAATGTCGCCGCAGAAACGGATGCCTCGGACCTTTACGCCACGATCGTCTACAAGGACGACGCCGACGACGTCGACGTCGTTGATGATCCAAACGACGACGATTCGCTCCCTCCGCTACTCAAACGACTCCCTAAGGACTTCGGCGGCGGCGGTCTAATTGATTCCGATTCCGACAACGAGGCGGGCTCAATTTCCGGGACAATGATAGTCAAGACCAGTCGCAGCTCGATGTATTCAAATCCGTCGTCTCCGTACCGAAAGCATCGCTCAGGACCGGCGTCGTATTGGGAGCGGAGAGTTGAGGATGAGGGTGACGAAGAGGAGGACGATGATGATGAGGAAGAGGAAGTTAATTTTTCCACTTTCGTGGTGAGAGATAGCAGCGAGTTTGATGCGGGGACAGTGGTAATGAGGACGAGAAAAAGTGGAAGCGGCGGAGCCAGTGGATCATCGACGATGAGTAGAGCTGTGGCGAGTATGCAGGCCGTGGGGGAGATTGGGCATGCGAGGCAGAGGAAAAGCGGGAGTGGTTGGGTGCCGGAGGAGGAATTAAGACCTCATGTGAGTAAGGTCTCGTCGAGCTCCATTCCAGAGAGTGTCACTAAGGAGGATCCATCCTCTAAATACGAATTGCTCCATGAGCTTGGTAAATTTGATTTCTAGCTTATTGCTCTTAGCTTTCTAGCCTGATTCGAACTGGATTTATGCAATTGGTAGTGAAATTGATACCTTATTTAGTTAACATGCTGCCATTGGCTTATCGTGTTTAGTTTTGTATCAGGTGGTCTTAATAACAACGGCTTTTAATTTGAACTGACATGTACCTTCTTGGATATATGACCAAAGTGTATATATATATAAGATTTCTATACAGTTCAATGTACAGAAACATAGATACAACCTATTTTAATCTATAATAACAATAACAATAATAATAATAATAATGCTAATACTAATACTAATATAATCTGATCTCTCTTTCTTTGATTTCTCACATATTTTGCTTTCGCCTAATTGGGCGGGTGGTGGCTATTCACCACCCATTAGGTCTTACAAACTGTCAATTTCAACATGATATCAAAGCCTATTTCAACATGATATCAAAGCCTATGTGTCCTTGACCATTTTTACTATTTTTCCGTGTAAATAGTACTTTCCAGTGAGCACAATCCGACCTTTTTGGTGGTTGCATCTGCAAACTAACACCACTGTGTTTTTCATGACATCATCGCAACCCTTAGCCCATCACCGGTGACGTGCCCTTATGTGCTTCCTAGCGAAGAAGTTGTCTCTTTCAGTCTTTAGCTCAAATCTCCTGTTCTAGTGATTTTCTGATCTCAATGTCTACACCAGTAGTCTCCACTTATAAAATTTTGTTGTCATATGCCATTATCATGTGTAGGCGGTGTAGCCAAGCCTCCTTCATACGCTTGTGCATGTGACTACCGGCAAGATTTTCTAGGTCTCTTTTTCCCAATTGTTCAGTTTTTTTGGTGAAATTTGAAGGCCTTTTCGATCCATATCTGAGTTTCTTTCTTAAGGGTGTTCAGTTTTGGTATTACCAGTGTTGCAAAAATCGCGCCTAGGCGCTAGTCGGTCGGCCTCCTAGGCGCCCGCCTAGGCGCTCTAGGCGCCCTAGGCGGTACCCAGGCGCCTAGCGATTTTTTCAACATTGGGTATTACTGTACTGGTTTCCTTATTTTTGGTGTGATATATTTATTCCCCAAGGGTGTTCAGTTTCAAAATTACTACGGAGTATATTTTATTTCCAAAGGCCTTTTATTATTTCTCAAGTAAGGGGGAGTGCTGCAATCAACAACCAACCGGTGTCCTATTTTGTTTTCTTCAATGTTATGGGCTTCTATTAAATGTTTTGGGCTTATCTTCATTACTATGGGGTCTATCGTTTTGCATCCCTTTGCTGCACTTGCTCCGTTTAGCATCTACAGCTCTTGGTGAAGACTTTTTGGCCTGTATCCTAGAGTGCTTGTGTTGCCGTATTATTTTGAGGTTGTTTGTCAGTTTGTGTTCAGTTCTATTCTTTGGCGCTTTCATCTTCATTCTCAAAGGGCGTGCACAACGCCGTGTCTTCCGAAACCATCCAACACTATTATCCTCAAGTCGTGCCTACTGCCTAGTCTTCTTTTGTTATTTTGAGCTAGGTGGAGATTCAGTTTGAGGGGAGTGCTAAATAATAGGAAACTGCAGCCCTATTTCTAGTAGGAGTGGTCTTAACCAATATTCCTATAAATATAGGATCTCTATATAGTTCAATATACAGAAACATAGAGAGACAACCTATTATAGTATATTATTTATTATTTATTAGGAACATGTGTCAAATAAGTCATTGAACTTATCACTTTTGTGCAATTGGGTCACTGAACTTAAAAAGTATGTAATCGAACCATCAATTCATCAAACAAGCAAAATATGTTCAATTGGGACATTTTTATGATTTCTTTTAATGCAATTTAAGTTAAAAACATTTCAATCTTTCATCCCAACTAGTATGACAGAGGAAATGACGATTCTTAGTACATACCATGTAAGTTATATGATCAGAT